GGTATGGGTAGTGATTAGTAGTGCGTTTATGAATGGTTGGCCCTTCGGTTTTATTTCATCCACTAAACATGATTTTACTTGTCTTTCTGCTGCAAATACCTCGTAGATATATTTATATACGTTTATTATTATTCACAGTTAGTAACACCCTTTTTAACCATGCAAGTAAACAAGATGATTTGACCTCTTACAATTTGATTCTGCTGCTTTCATAAATCGAGGTGGGGTGTATACTTCATAGGCCTAAGAGGGCAGTTTAATAGATACGTGTTTAGTGCTTCACAATATTTGTCTTTCGAATAACATTTTACTACCCGTTGCATAAACGACTCCAGCAGAAAGAGCTGACGATGAGGACAACGAAAGAAAATGACACTTTGCCAAGGTTGAATCCACCCTCATTAGACAAGAGATTTAGGACTGGTGCAAATTGTTCTTTTTTTTTCTTCTTATTGTAATAGTAGTGTTGTTGTTTTTCTTTTATAATAAAATTCGTTAAGTTCAATGTATCACTGTTGGATTTGCCTTTGTACTGTATACAGTAGTACCACTTTTTTAGATTATGTAACGTTTGCTGAATAAAGTTGAATTTTTTGTTTCATCGTTTTAAATAAAAGTTCAATCTAGTCTTTTGAAAAGTCGACATTCTTTATTACATTGGCTATTTTTAATAGTATCACACCGACTTTCTAGCCAATCACGTATTTCTTTTTACAGCACGTAGGAAAAGCACTCGTCTGCGACCCCGTTAGGAGGTGCTTCCTGAAATTCTCGCTCGTATAACAGCTGAACAGACCTCAGGCGCCTCGCTGTCCCACAACGCTGATAACAAGTCCACAGATTGAACTATCTTCAGAGTATATGAGGTTGGTAGTTATGTTGCATCACAATCCGAAACACGCATCTTTGGCTTATTCCTGCTTTTTGCGCAACTTAACGAGTTGAATTTGCTAAGAGACGACCTGCTAACGTGTTCAAAAGGTCCTTATTTGCTGCTGTCACTCTTCCTCTACCTTTACAGCACCAGTCACATGAAATTTAGTGAGCGAACGACCAACACCAAAGGATTCTACTGCTAAGGACGCCTCACATTAAATTCTGTTGCAACCTACAGTTTACTCAATTTAGGATCCACACACACAAAACATCTTCCAAACTTTAATCTCTCAAGGTGAATGCAGTCTTAATTAGTTACTGTAACAAAAGAAAAACGATATACTTGGGAAAAGATAACTGGGACAGTACGCGACTTTTGCACCACCTTTAATCATTCGAAGTTGGTTTTAACTCTTTATTAATATGGTAACTATATATTTTTTACGTTATTTTCATATACTTTTAGCATGAATAACGATAGAACAACTTCTTCATATATTAAAACTTTATTCAATACTTCGCATTGCATAATTAATACAACTGATCGGAATTAACAAGATAAAATTAAAGGTTACTTTTCTTTATTTTGCATCAATAATAAAATGTTAAGTAACACTATCTTTACTAAGATTGTCCCTACTAAATAAATAAGCTGGAGTTGTTAGGTTTATTACAGAAAAAATATAAATGAACACATTTTCAGATTTAGTGCACGCACATTAAACACCTCTCGGGGAGTTTCGCTAAAATTCCATGTAAACAAATTTCAAAACGCGAAACTTTTTAAAACCGTCAGGTGGCCAGAAATTACAAAACTGAACTTCATACACAGTTCTTGCGCATAATAAATTCCATTTACATAGATGCTTCTTTAAATAAAACACGTTTCTGATAATAAAGCATCAAGATATCCTAAATTGTATCTTTAGAAACTCCTAAATAATGTTAATATATCTCGCCAACGTGTCACACACATGCTACATTAAAACAAAATCTTAATCCATAAACGAGAACATTTTTAACTCAACACTGGTGCATGTCTTTTCAGTTCATCTGTTATTGCAGTTTACTCTGCTGGGAAGAAATTGGAAACTTAATTCAAAACTCGGATGTACTATAAATGACGTGTTTAAAAAAAATTATACAAACATATGTGCAAAAAATATTTACAACTACACAGAATATTTTCTTGACAGTTATATTTATTATTTTCTACAGGTTGAAGAAGTGTTCTGTTATCATCTTATCCATAAAACTACTGAGAAAATCAAAGATCTGGTGCTTGTTTTTGAATTTCGCGCAGAGCTACACGATGGCTATCCGCGCCAGCCGTCCCTAATTTAGCAGTGTAAGACTAGAGGGAAAGCAGCTAGTCATCACCACCCACCGCCAACTCTTTTACCAACGAATAGTGGGATTGACCGTCACATTATAACGCCCCACGGCTAAAAGGGCGAGCATGTTTGGTGGGACGGGGATTCTAACCCGCGATCCTCAGCTTGCGAGTCAAATACCCTAACCACCTGGCCCAGATCTGGTGCAATTACAAATGAAAACAAGATTTGCAGACCTTCCTGAATATGGCATCTGGTTTGCATACCCTGACCCTTCGAAAATAGTCTCAGTTTAAAGACAGGACATTACACATATCTCCCATATGATGCCATTCACAGGTGACCACATTGGATGCAGTAAAAAAAATCTCTTGTTAAGATTGTTTTTAGCAATGTTGCACAATTTTAAAACATAATTTTCAAATCTTGAAGTTGCTGATAACGTTAAAAAGTCACGTACAGCATTTCATGTGACCAAACAATTTATTACACAAACTGTTTTTCACGCTTCTAGCAGCTTATCTTCTTTTATATTCATAACACTTTGGCATCATGTACACACTATTTGACAATACTAAAGTATTACTCCCAGTTCTCTTATAGAGCATGTGGAATGGACCTTCTCTTATGTTTAAGGAATGTATGAATAACTTTGATAGGTTAATACACAAGTGTCATTACAAATATTGACAATACTAAAGTATTACTCCCAGTTCTCTTGTAGAGCATATCGAATGGACCTTCTCTTATGTTTAATGAATGTATGAATAACTTTGATAGGTTAATACACAAGTGTCATTACAAATAAACTGTCAGTGCGAAGCAAAATATACTCTCCCTGTATTAAGCCAAAAACAGCCCTAATCCACTTGTTAATGGACAGTGTCATCTTTGTATTTTAGCACACTGCATTACTTTTTAAAACCCACAAGCAATAATGAGTAGACGAGTCCACAAGTTTCACAATTGCAGTATTTTATGACAACATCTAAAATTTCTATTTTGTATTTTCTTCATAGTCTTAGATTGATTTCACTAATGTTTAGCTGTATGCTACTTTTTAACGAAAAATAAATATTCAAACAACTTTTTTAAATTCGTAACAAAGGAAGTCAAGAGTAACAAAAGTTTTCTACACGTTAACTAAGTTTTCTTCTGTGCAAGCTTTCACCCCCAATATAGGTCGAAAGCTTGTAAATTAATAAAATTTCAAAAATTAAATGACGTTACGTATACAAATCCTACTTTTAATCTATATAAAAGTAAGTATATTTTTGTTTTTCGCAATTTTTCATGCTCTTGTAGATTCTGGACCTATTTTCATTGCACTTAATTGTCTTGACTGGCTGGCGCGCACGCACGAGTAACTTGTTCTCAGTATTTAATTTGTATAAGAGATCGTTTCAAACTTGATACGTTCTGTATTTTTCATGCATATTCAACAATTACACAAATAATTTTAAAGTACAGAAGTTATAACTTGCACGTCTAATTTAACCTAAAAAACTGTTTTATATCTCAAAATAACGTGAAATTGTCTATATTAACAAAATTTATGAATTCTTAAAACGATATTTTACTCCACCCGATGACATAAAATACTGTTGTTTACTACTAAGTAATTTATTAGTTTTTTTTTATATATTAGCTTTCATACATAGTTGAACAGATGTAGTGACAGAAGAAAAAGTAAGAAAAATAGGCTTACAAATCAACCAATCCATTATGGTTGTTCTCCCCAATTTTGGTGTCAATCATATGTTTCTGCATTGTTCTCTATATTCCTTCACCAACTTTCCTAAATCAACCTTTTAATATCCAATCCATTTTTCAATGTCATCAAGTCAGGCATGTCTACCTATCTCTCGCTCTTCATCCTTCAAATTCACTTACTATAATCTGTTTCTTTCCCTTAGATCTAATCGTATACCCAAACTAGCGAATTTTACTATTCCTGCACATTTCCAGCAGTTGTCTTTTTAGTTTTGCATGTTCCAATATTTCGTTAGTTTTTCTTTATGTGTAGGTGATTGTTATCGTTCTTCTATACCATCACATTTCAATTACTTCTGTCGTTTTGTTTCAGCACACAGGGTCTAAATTTCCACCTGACAGAGTAGGACTGACTGTATGAAACGTTTTAGTATTCTGTTTAACATCTTTGAGTAATTCTTTTAGACTGGAGAATGTTATTTTGGCATTTCAAACTTTTGATTTATCTCTTTTTCACACTTGCCTTTACCACTGACATTCATCCCTAACCAGCTAAACTCCTCTATTTGTTGAAACTACTTTTTATTTTGATTGCACGTTCTGAAAGCTTTCTCAAATTGTGAAATTACCATTGTGTTAGTTTTGTTGGCATTTATTATGCTAACAAACAGCGATATTTAATAAAGGATACAAGTTACTCCATACAAATGAACTTAATTTTACGACGTCATTAAACTGGATGTGCATTTGTCAAACATGCTATACTATACTATGCATTTGTTAAACAAGGAAGCAACATTTCAACTTTCAATTCCCTGGTGTTGTTTGAAATATTAACAATTTTAGAACCTTGAGAATTTGTTTAAAATCGATAGGTTTTTTAAGCATCTTTTTCAAAAGCTATAATAAAGTTTGATAAGTAGGAATTTATTATATGATAAACACTACAGCAATTATCGTAAGGATTCAATCTTTAAGTATCAGTTAAAATCTGAAATGCATTGTCTGATTATTTGTACAACAAAAAACACACACACCTTTAATTGCTATAATACTTGCTATTCTGATGAACACAAAAAAGTTTGAATCCATGAAGTTTATTGTTTATGAAAGTGTACTACACAACATTACATCACAAGGTGGGTGAACCAAAAAATTCCAGCTTAACTATACTTAGCTAAAGGATTCAGTTTTTCACATCTACATGTTACATACTTGAAACATATAAAACAGTTTCTTTGCTGAGCTAAGAAAATGACAGAATAACAAATAGGTTTTCTGTTGTATGGGTAGCTATATGAAAACCTATCTAAAACATAAGCCACTGTTAGGATAATTTCTATATTAATGAAACAAGCCATTCCACATAATACAAGAAGATAAAAATTGAAGTGTCCTGCAGCAATGAAACTAATTTGAATAAAACTTTAAAACTGTCAAATGCCAGAATTAAACATTCACCACCTACAAGCAGTGAACAACCAGCTGTTTGACATTTGCCTTTGTAATGGAGCGGGCTTGTAACTTGCATTTAGGTTAAACAGAAAGTTATAACAATGACTGATCAAAATGCATCCTGACACTTATTCCTGTAACATAACACAGCCAAAATTTTTCTCTGTGTAGAAATGCTTTCTTCAATGTTTCACACATTTCTGTCACTAAAAAAGAGCAAAACAAAAAAAAACTGAAATCACAAAATTATTAAACACAACAAAAGAATATAGCATAAGAAACTTGACTGAAAAAGCAAATCAAATATTCAGTGGTCTAAACTGTGAGGAATAACTGGTCGCATGCTTTGCGTCATGATTGGATAAGAAACCAATGGAGTAGAAGGTGCACTCATGGAAATGGTCTGACACAAATTTTGAGACATCCCTGCCATAGAAACAGGTGCAATGCCTTGTTGAGCCAAAGTAACATGAGCCATTGATGCTATGCTATGAGGAGTATGCCCAGTTAGCTCTGGTGCAATTCTCTGAGGGGGAAGAGTAGCTGCAAGGTCGCTGTTAAGCTGAGAGATAGTCTGAGGAATATGGCCAGCGCTGGGAGTCATGGTGTGAGGATTGATAATCTGGCTAACAGGAACCATTGTGGTTTGCTTACTGATACGTAGTTGTGCATTTTGATCCAGCAGAAACTCATTAGTTGCAGTCAGCTCAGAAACTTGTTTTTTCAGCTCTTCAACCTTGCGTTGCAAAATCAAATTTTCTTCCTCAAGCAATCGAAAATCATGTTGAACAGGCATTGGATTGGGCAACAAGTGATGAACATCACCTCTTAATGGACGTTCCATGGGACTAAATGGTCCATCATAAATTCTCCGTTTAGGTTCTGGTTCATAAGCATCAAACCCAAACCGATCTTCAAATCGACCCATTTCCCTCCTGTCAGGAAGTTCCCCTCGACGTCCCATTTCCATATTATATTCATCAACAGAAACATGTCGAAATTTACAGCGCCTTTTTCTTCTGCAGAATCCTTTCAGAAAATCTTTACATACTGGAGGCATTGATCTACCCATTGACAAAGCTTCTTGAATATGTTCAGGAAGTTTTCCAGTAGCACGATAGAATTCTTCTTCCTTCCTTGTACAATGCAAAAATTTGCAATTTGCTCTGTTACACTCCTTGTTTTGGAAATCGTGACAAAATTCAATTTCTTGCTTTCTTCCAGTATCTTCAGAATCATTGTTGGTCTCAGGATGCCTGTATTTGCAACGCCTGCCTCGCCTGCACACATTGCGCAGAAAATCGCGGCAGACATCATCACGGTCGCTACCATTTTTAATAGAGCCATCACCCCTCGAATCTCTGCTCTCATCATCAGACATTATGCTAAAATCTTGAACTTTTTTTTAAAACAAAAACTGTATGTCTGGAATTTAAATTCTGAATGGATTCTTCAAAAATAAAACCCAGTTCTATATCACAACATGCAGGGGGTTACTGCTGCTGCACTTGGCTCTTCAGCTGCTGCGCAGGCTACTCGATGCTCAGTAATGCTGTAAAAAAGCAGCAAATACTGAATATTAATATACAAATCATAATATCAAAGCACTTAAAAGCAGCAAATATCTGAAAATAATTAAATTTTCACTTCTGTGTATAATGAAAGTTTCAACAGAGGTAAAGCTATTCCAAAAAATTAATTGGCTGTGTTCATTTGTTCACGAACTGGATCATGATTTGTTATATGTACTTCCACAGCACAGATTCTATTGAGATTTATTTTCATTCTATGACATGTTTGATTTGCTTTAAGTACTTTGACTGTAAAGAATTGTCCATCTTTCAATAACCTGGAATATGAGTTTTTGAGCAAGATTACATGTACATCTAAACGTAAGGTTTCAAAACTTTATAATTATATAAGGTATTACAAGATGTTGAACAGCTGCTCATAAAAACTGGAAATGATTCACATAACACCATATGCCACTTCTAGTAAGCATAAGTACATAAATCTGGGGATTTCAGGGTGACTATCAAACTTACTTTACTGTGCAGTAGGATCAGATAGTTGAAAAAATATGCTAAGGAATAAAGGTAGTACACTTTTATTACAATTTAACAACAACTACATTGCTTTATATTAGCATGTGGAACCATCACATATTCGTTCATGGAAAATATCAGGACATCCAACTTTTTACTTTGCAGTTTCCACTAAAACACAAACCATAACTGAGAGAACAAAGCTTTATTTAGTTCAAATAGTAAATTGTAATCAAATCTATAGCATGTATAGCCTAATGCTAAGAACTATATTGTTGAAGTAACAAAAGATGAAACACAAATAAGTTTAGATTGTCAACACATTTTTGTAGTGCACCAAGATTTAGAAAGTTGTCTATTGAGGACTGGACCTGGCTATTCTATAACATTAATTTATAATTCAGATTATAAATTTTATCTTGGAAATAATTTTCTCAATCAGAGGTAGTGTGAAAGTAATCTTTCTTGTGGTATCTTTGGAAAATTATCTTTTTTTTTCTTGGTTTATCTGTGTTTTTTGCAATGCTAATTTTTGTGTCATAGTCATAATAAATTTGTTCTATGTAATTAAAAGTTGGATATTTGTTAGTCGAAAGAAGTAATTTTAGTTTGAGCTTGTAGTGTTTTTTTCACTATAATTGTGATCATTTTTTTTTATTCTCCAATAATTGCACCTTTCTTGGAAACTCTTGAGTGATGGGAGTTAAAGATAATATAAAGTTTTTTAATTGGCTGGTGAAAAAAAGATAAGACTGTACATTATTTTTATTATCAATCATTAAGGTAATGTCAAGAAAATTATACACCTTGTCATTTTAACTAATCATGGACAAAACTTCCGAGATGAATCTACCATTCTCTGTACAAATCCTTACCAAAGCCATCAAGTACACAGACAGAAAATCTAAAAAAGCTTTTCTCATTGAACAACTACTATCACAGATGAATAGGGACAAAGGAAGCCACCTACAATTATAATTATTTTAGTTTTTCAACTTAATTTCTATTTCAATCTATAATTTAGATGGAACTTTTGTTTACCACAGATAAATTTCAACAACATAATTCTTTCAACAATACGATTTACTTACTTTTAATTGTCAAGTGCTCGCTATAGAATCAACTAGAATTTACTAGTTAAACTGATTATAGCTTTGCATTGTCATTTATGGTTTGTTTTAGTGGAACATTCCTGAAGCTGTAAAACAAAATGTTGAGCAACCAATTAATGAAAAATAACAAATTTGGTGAAATAAGACCATTTACTACTAGTATTAAAAGTGGCTCACATATCCAATCCTTAACTTCTTTCAAAACTCTTGGGTAAGTGTTATTTAGCCCAAGAGCTTTATAATTCTTTAAACTTTCAAATTTTTTCTTAAGTTCAAAATTAATGTTATCTTGTTCAATCTAACAGCTGTTCAGGTTGATGAATATTGCTTAAATCTTCAATAGCAAAAACTAAAGAAAAAAAGTACAACATATTAACCAGCCATCCGATATTTATCAGATATTAGCCTTCCTTGTATCATTCCTAAGAGGTCCTACTCCCATGCTAACATTTTGCTTACCCTTAATATGTTTGAAGAAATCCTAACTATTAATTTTTATGTTTTCAGCCATACTGGTATAGAAATGCAACTGAAGAAACTTGAAGAGAATACTGATGAAAGGAAATTCATTTATGATATTGACGAATCCTCTAACATAAACAAACAAGAGTACAATACAAGATGACCAATAGCCCAAAAGTTTCAGAAAAGTAGGCCTTTCCCCATTTTTCAGGAATGAACTAGGAAATGTTTATGTAGCTATATAAATGTGACTTTTCTTCTTCTGAGGTCTTTCAGAACTGAATGACTTCTCAGAATAAATATCATAAAACAAGTTATTATCATTTCTCATTCATGAATATTTCAAAGTTAAGTCTACAATAGTAAATACATTTTTTTTTTAATTTGAAGTTCCAACATAATTACATATAGTGAAATACTGGTAAATTTATATACTATAATCCTACAAACATTTCATGCTACAAAAATCTTAATAAAAAAACATTCCCTACCAAGTTTGTATTGTTATACTCTAAAAAGCTTTCTATGTTCAGTTTGTGATATAACTTTTGTTATTCATTCAATTTTGACTTACATTGAGAAAATCAAAAATCTGTGACAATCAGACCATTGGATTACTGGACATTCACCAAAAAAAAAACATTATCAAATTTGGAAAATATTACACATTTTCTGAAAGAGGTTTACCTGTAAACATTACTGGTTATCTACACCAAAATTATTCCCTCCTTAAAGTTCAATAAAATCCTCAAATATTCTTTCAAAAAAATAAATTTCAAGAGTTTCAAATCAGTTAAAGACAACTCCAGGTAATATAGACAATGGACAAAATACAAAGAAAATTACACAAACTGGAAACAATATCAATAACAGCTAAGCCAAACAACTATGGCATATTTACGGACTACTAATTCATAACAGGGTTCATGCATGTATGTGATAATAAAGAAAAATTCTGTCATTTTATACCATTCCTAAAATATAGGATTTTTTTCTATACTTTTTTTACCCGTTTGTGTAATTTTCTTTGTATTTTTTAACCTTGTCTTTATTTCCACCACTGGTTAAAGATATAGTTTCTACAGCTAAGTCAAAGGTCATAAACATTGAAAAAATTTAAAAATTCTTTACAAGAATTATAAAGTTTAACACAAAAAGATAATTACTCAGATTTTGATGGTGGGTATGAAAAGAATAGCAAACAATTTGATGAAAGAAAGAAGATGATAAAAATTTATCTTACTATGTGGCTGAATGTGACTAGTCACTGTGCTTTAGAAATGTTCATTACTGGGATATATCAATAGCTTCTGACTCAAAGTAAGATAACTTTACAGACCATTAACTTTGTACATAATACAGCTAATTGAACATACTAGTGTTAACTATGAGAGGTGATACCATAAAATAAACTAATAATAATAATTAGAGCAGCGATTCATCAGTTGGTTATGATACACTAACCTGGACTGTAACTTCCTGATTAAACCAAATTGCTACAGTTAGTATACTAAAAAATGCAGAAAAACTTGGGATTTTCAGTTTATTATCAATATATTTCCACATGAAAATGCTGTTCAAAATGTTTTAATATGATAATTTATAACTGAGTCAGGTTAAACTTAAGCTAAATGTCCTAATAATAACAATATAATTGCTGCATACATACCTGTAACTTTTTGTCAAAAGGGTAAACATAAAGTGATGTGCATATATACGTCACATCTGGAATTTAGCTAGCTATGTCAGTAATAAATTCAGCTACTGTTGTATGAACATCTAGTACTGGTACCTTTCCCCATAGCAAACATATTTCAATTCTATGCTTTCATTCGAGCTTTGCAATAAAAATACATTCTTTTCCATACAACATTCATGTCATATCTTTTGAACCATCTGTCTTGAATATGGCTGTCATTTTTACAGAACCTCTTGACAACAACTGTACATATAGATCTTTAAACAGATGCTTTGTGTTGTTTCTGTAAAAAAATGTTAAATGCTCTATAGTGTAAAATGCTGATTTGCATTGTTTGCTAAAGATAATAGAGAATAGTACAAACCTTATTTGGATATTTTAAGCATGAACTATTTCCATGATATTGGAGTTTTCATATCATGAGTCTAAACGTTTTTTTTCCAATTTTACGTGTAATATGGTTTACTAGCAGTGACCCGTAAAATGTTTACAATAAAATTAGTTTTATTACAAGTCATTCTTTAAATACAGGATTTCTAGAATAATACAAAAGAATTCTAATCACAGACACCAAAATCTACATGTCCACTTGTCTTAAGCAAGTTATTTAAGCCTTTACCAAGTACAGCCATATTTGAAAAAAAAGATAAAATAACATTAACTTGTGTACATTTTTGCTTTAATTTAGTTAAGCCTAAACTTTACTGTCCTTAATACAATCAATAAATAAACTTATTTTACAGCCTAACATTAGACATTGATAAGCTTTTAACATGTTGTTGTACAAAATGTATACTAAAGTATATTTACATCTACTTTTTGTTTTCACCCACTAAAATGAAGAATTTACATAGTAAGGTGAGCACACATTTTCAAGACTGACAAAAATTGAGAATTATTATAATATATACGCCATGAAGATTGATGACAACTGTAAAAGTGAACTGGGATTTTGAGGTTTCACATGAATCATTATCAGTTTGGTGCTCAAGTGGAGAAAAAAAAACACCCACAAATAACAATCATCAATAGTGGCTACAGACATTTAAACCCTACCTTTTGCTTTTGGTAGTATAATGTTAAGTACATTTCAGACAGTCTAACAAAGTAAGGATACTCAACTGTGTAAAATAAGCAATACACTTAATATTACAATGGTTTGTTTAAAAAACAATTTTCTCTTTTGATACTCATGCAAGACTAATCAAGGGCTATCTGCACTAGCTGTCCCTAATTTTAAAACGATAGACCAGAAGGAAGTCATTCAATCAACAGCACCCAATAACAACTCTTGTTTGACTGTGGAATAGCAAGATTTGACCATTACTCTTATAATGCACCAACAGCCAAAAAAAGTGTGGAGCAAAAGTTTCCTTTTTATTTTTTGGTAAAGGAATGTAAACAATGAACCTGCAGATTCATAGTCTGCCACACTAACCAAGGGGCTAGACTCAGTCCTACAAAAAAAAATAACCAGTACTGTAGCTAATTTGATAAAACAACAGTCACACATCATCTTTCAAAACAGATTTCAATTAATTTTGTCTTGCTTTTAAATTGTTCTAATCCTTCTCAACTATTCAGTAGTTCCATGCTTTTTTCGGTCACACATTATATAAATTACTGTTGGGTAAAACAATTGAAATTTATACAAATTTTGCACGTCAAAAATTATTACCCATCCAGCTTACTTTTGTTTTGAAAATCAGAGCAAACCAATCAAGTGAATGATGTACTTTTGTATAATGGTTTTGTGATTTCCATATATGAAAAATTTTCAGATTGTTGATATTCCAGCAGAAACATTTTTGCAACTTTGAGTTTCTAACCTGTATATGAACAGTCTTCTTCATGCGAGTTTAGAAAATCAGTATTAGCATTAGGCTTAATAATGTAGTTCTCTCTGGAATAACAGTGAATGTAAAAAGGGACACTTTCATCTACTACCCACCATATGATCTATTAAGTGAAATATCCAATATGTAATACTGCTGTATTTTAAAAGTACACGATGAATAACAATGTATTTTTGTTTCTTTTTTTTTTTTTAATCTCTGTACATACTAAATTATGAAAACTTGATAAAATTAGGAAAAATATAATTTACAAAATAACATAAGATGTTTTGTCCAACTCAAAATATTTTTATGAAGAAATACAAAAACAATATCATTGTTAATTATTGGTACATAAATACAAACACTAGAAGATACACGTAAAATTTGGATTAGAAAAATACCTAAGATGATAAATTTAATTTATTGACACTATATTGATGGTTTAGACTGGAAGCATACTGCAGATACATTTTGTAAAAAGAAACTACTATAAAGCTAAAAATATCATACTGTCAGATAAAAAAAATATGGCTTCCTAAAGGCAGGGAAGTGATGCATATACCTCACGGTCCAATAACATGCTTGAAATATATTTTTCATAATTCTGTTGGTGGACCATGAGGTAAACTAGATAATTATGACCAACCTGCTAACCACCGGACAAAAATACTAAAAGTATAGCTTACTTTTAGTGCATTTGAATTTGAAGTTTAGTTGCTTAACATTTGTTACCTATTATCAGAGCTGGACAATTAGTGAAACTTGTTAACTGATTAACCTCGTGTAAGGCATGGATATTTGGAATAATCAAAAATAGATGTAACTGGATGGACTGGGACTAAAAATTGGTCCTTGTTTTTAATGCACACTGGCTCAAGTTGAGGCTGTGGCACCTACGCTCATTATCACAGAAGAATGCAGTTTATGGATATATTGAACATCTATGAGCTACACTTATCACATTCATTCTAAATGTTTGTGTAAGCACCAGTGTTACTTTTAAAATATACATTATTATCCTCTAATGTTTGTTTGCTGCATATACTTTTAATATTTTATATATATATATATATATATATATATATATATATAT